CCATCTATGTGTCTGTCCTGCTACTTGTATATCCATATACATGTTTATACAGCTGTCTGTATATAGTTATTTAAATTTCTACATATATGTGTGTATGTAGATTTGTATATATATATATATACACACATATTTATATTTGCTATTGAACATCTCGTGCACACTGCGGAGCTGTCCTGTGAGCGAGACGGAGAACCTGGGCACGAACGGACATGACAGATTCGAAAGATCCCAAATACAGGCCTCAAAATGCCGAAGAAGGGTGACGACTCTCGGAAGCTCCACAATAATGCACAATCTCAGGCGGGCGACGCGGTGATGTAAGCTGACCCCGCAGTGGCCACCTTAACTCATCATCAGCGCAGCAAAACTGACACGAAAAATGGCAGTGGTAAGCACGAAAATCAGAGTTATGGTGCGAATGATAAGATTTAAAGCCGAGCTGATCATGGTGGTAGCTACGGGAAAGGATGGCATTCATGGCATCTTTTACAACAGAAAAGATTGAGGCTCGGACAGCCACAAGCGGACACAGGATGGTTGGCCAGTGTCCTGAGCTCCCAGATGACTTCTCTGAACCCAACACCCTTCCGCAGACTGAGACTCAGGAATAAACACCAAGCCAAACATAATCACATGGCGCCTTCCCCTGAAATTTTGCTCACATCTCCATTCAGCGTACAACCGGCATTGCGTCATCGGCCGCTGTCGGCAGTACTATGATTGCTGCTGATACTCCTACTATTGAGATTGCATAATCTGACCATGAAACGTGCTTGCCATTAGCACTGGCATGGTAAAGTGTACTACTGCGATTAGCTGCTTTCGTACCGTTCGGCCGGATGTCTTTCAAGACTCAACTGTACAATCCTCCTTACTCTCAGCAGTACTGCAGTTCTAGCCACTCGCGACGAACACTAGCACTAGCAACACCACTCCGGTCACGACTACTGCACGCCCTAAGCCCTCAAATCTGAACCCTCAAGCCAAGCCGAGAGACTCCATTCAGAGTAAGCTTTCAAGGGAGAGCTGGTGCTGTGCCTGCGCTACTTCAGACAAAAAGCTGCACGCTGGACGTGGCGCTGCGAGCACACGACAAATGACAAAAGAAGAGCAAAATACATGTCTAGACCGCAAACATAGCCTTCCCACGCATCTCCCACTTCGTGCCCATGGCGACGTCGACAGCGTTGATCTCGTCGACAGGTAGTGATAGTGATCGGCAGCGTACCTGGATTGAAACCAACGACCAAAGTGATGATCATCTTGCCAGCAGGCCAAGCAACCCCAACACATTGGTCAAGATGGCAGCTCCCAAAAAGAGGAAAAGCCCCGTGTCCTAGGCAGATTGCCAATGCCCCCCGCCGTCGACTTCACGTCCACTCTGAGTTGCTGGTTTGTCTGAGCATCGCACCAGGAACATACTGAAGTCAGCAGACACCTTACCGTAAGTTCCGCTGCTGAGCAGCTTCAAACCGTCAACTTTGTCTGTGAAACTGTTGGCTCAGGTTCCAACTTGGCGACCTCGCCAACGCAGTTGGCAAAGCGCGGCCCAAATGGAGATGAGCCATGGAAAAGATAGACCTGAACAACACCAGACAAAGCCCAAGTGGCTGAATTGCTGCTCTCGGCACTGAGTTCAGGACCACACTTCCCTAAAGCCGCGAAGAGTCGCAGAAAAGAGCCTCGAGAGGCATCCAGCCACTCGGCAAGTGCTAGTTGGACTCGGGACTCGAAGGTTCTCAAAGAGTCGGACGTCGTCTGAGCCCCCTGCCTCGGCTCGATGGAGTGAGGCAGCTCCCGGGAAGAAACCAAACGATCCTCAGGCTGCGGGACAGCCATCCACGATCTCCACAGTAGCCTTTATCAGTGCCTTTTATCCCTGCTCTTCTCAAGGTCCAAAGGGCAGAAGGACGCCGGTCTGGATAAATGGCCAAAGCCCATTGAGGAGGAAGAGGACCACCGCTGTGGCTCTGGCGTCGGCCTGCCAGGCATCCCTGGCGGCTCGGAGGAGCGTCAGCGTGGCCATGGTCCCCGACCACTGCCAGTCGCCATGGTGTGGAGCGCCGGCCACCAGGAGCTCCACATTCACTTCAGCTGTCTCTGAGATGTCTGCAAGCACATAGAGCCCACAGCAGAGCAGTGTAAAGACAGGGTGCATGAACCGGATGCAGCATGGAACGTTTGGACTCTTGCCCAGACAGGGCATGTTCCAAGGGCTGTTCATCTCCGTAGAAGTCATAGCATCACTGCCCGACATGCTGCTTATGCAGCTGCCCGGAACTGAGGTGCTGGGTGTCTGCTCTCCCCGCGTCCTGGAAGAGACACCCAATAAGGCACGAGCCGCTCGGGTTTCCTGTGACTGCTGCCTTCTGCGAAAAATCAACACAAGCACGACAACGACTGCTATAAGGACTAATATCCCAGCTGAAACCCAACCAGCGACTTCCACCAGCGGCCACCAGGTCCAATGACTTCTGTTTCTTCTCGAGGCATCCTCCATCGTTGATGCCTCAAAATTGTCGACTAGTTCTCTCCCGTCGACGCAACCCGATGGGTGCTCGGATTGACGACTAGGGTGCAGATAAACACGGGGGCCATCGCAAGCAACGTGCTGCTAGAAGAACTGCCACAAAACTTCCTCACGAACTGCTTGAGCCTTGTAAGACCTTCAACAAGCTATGTAACGAACCACTGGACAGACCTGAACTAACTCACCGACTGTGTTGTGTGAAACTCGGGTGGGCTTGAGCCCATGCACTGCGCACCATGCTAACTTCGTGCTTCAACCACCCAGTCGCACCGGGGTGTCCTGAACCCCTTGCGACCGACATCACCGGACAAGCAACGACGTGTTCAGCAAACGAGCAAGGTTGGCTTGTGGGAGCGGGGGTCGCTGTGATCCTTTGCCAGCCTGCCATGAGGACCCTGCAGCCTTCATGCACGCGAACTGAGCTGGAAGCGAACCTTCGGCGCTGGCTTGGTCGCAGCTTTGCCCGAAGAGTTACTAGAAGACTTCTTGACCTGCGATGAAAGCGATTACAGACAGCGGCGTTCTGAATTTGCATCGAAGATTTCGAGCCTGGCTTGGACCGACATCCTGACGTAGGCAAAAGGTTACGGCCACTGCATAATACAAATGTAGAACACTGCAACCATGTTTGTTTTCGACCTCGTCCAAGTCGATGGAACCTGCAACCTTCAATCGTGTGATGCGAAACAGGCGGCCGGCCAAAATGTCAAAATGTCAAGCACGCTGAGACCATGGCAGGTGCCCCCAACTTGAATCGCTTTTTGGACGGCGATTCTGCACAACGCGTGACATGCAGCGATCTCGATGCAAGTCTCAACATCTGTATTCTGGTGCCTGGAACCATCCTGTAAAACCCGTGCCTGCTGCGGACCGCTTTGCATTGTCCGACTGCGATCTGACCGAACAGCATTGCATTTCATGTACTGACACAAGCACAACAAGTGCAACACTCTGTTCTCGAATGTCTGCAGTACCGGCCCACCTTGAGTCTCGCTTCTTCGGTGCCATGCGCCCTATAAGTTTGTTCTAAAGTCGTAAGAATGTTAGCGCGATTTCAGGTAGGCAATTCAAGTGTTACAGCAGTCGAATCCGACAAACCACCTTTCTGAAAGCTCCGTTGCTAGAGTTGAAACGACCACGCGACTATGGTCTCAACCGAACCGCAAGCCAAGCTCCAAATCACACCTAGACGTGGATGTGCCAGCACCAGCATTTAAGCACTTCCAAAAACACTCTCAGGGCTACTCTTGGGGTTACGAATGCCAGTACTGTTACCTTTGCCGAGTTATGTACCATGCTTCCAAGTTGTGTCATACCATATGGGTAATTATTGTCCTGGCAAATGTTGCTGACGTCATGTTGGCTTTAAGTTGTTGTACGACCGCGACCAGCATGAGGAAGTAGATGTCTTTTGGCTGGCAATGCATGCGCACACCTCTTCTCTTTGCCTTATGCCGCTGCAAGTTCAGCGCAAAGCACAAGAGGCACCGTTAGAACTTTGGGCGCCCCGAAAAGCTTGACCCTTTAAAGAGGAGGTCCACCAAAGCTGTGGAACCACAGACAGTTCTTGTTGAAGTGATGCAGAACGTCGATCTTTGATGCTTCCGAGAAGAGTCAATCCACTTGTTTGGCGGCTCATTGGACCCGGAGGAGCATCTCAGGCACATCGGATTCTGTGACCTGAACTAAAGTCGGTAAAGAGAGAGGGGGACGCAATTGAACGGGGGCTCTGAATTCCCACGATAATCTGTAGGTGAGATCGTACGTGCTCGAGTGCCGTACCGGCGGCAACTTTAACACCGAGGCCGTTCGTGAGTATATTGCAAGCGCACCCTGGATCTCGAACCCGAAGCTGCGCGAACCCTTATACTTGTGAGCATGGCATAGAAGCCAACGGCCGGCATTGTCAAAAGGCTCAGGCTTCGGCTAGCGAGGAGCCAGCGGGCCTCGTGTCGTGGCTTGCATAAATCTTTGAGGCTTGTCTTAGATGTAAAAGCTAGGCATCTAGGGCGCGGCATAAGGCCAGGTGGAACACCCTCGACTTTCAGCCTAAGGAAGACCTGAACTGAACCCCTCCAACAGTTTCTGCTTTTGTTTCGGGGATAAGTTCCGTTATGAGTACTGCTAGAACTATAACGGAATGATACTGAACATGGCTTATTAAATTGGAGTCAAGGCCGCGAAACACCTACAGTGCCAACAGCTCCAAGCGGCATCGGCGCGTAACACGATCAAGCCTCACGCACAATGCACTCGTTGCTTCTTTGTCTAACTTGCTTGGCTGCCGGCCGCTTTGTTCCACTCAGCCGAAACAATGCAGGAAGCCCCACGCCCCTCCCGCGCTCACTCCCACTCCCTCTCTCCCTCCCTCTCTCGCTCTCTGTCTTCTTCCCCGGGGCATGAGGGGTCTGTCTCTCTCTCTCTCTCTTTCTCCCCCCGGCATAGGGACCGGTCAGCCCCCCCGAAAATAAAAAACTCACCCGATGCGTAGTATACCGGGGCAAGGGGAATGACAAACGAATGTAGCGCGTCCTTCGGCGCCAAAGCCACGAAGTCTACAATACCAGTAACTTGGACGCATGTGCATTCTCCACCGTGCTGAGATGTTCCCCCTTTGTTGGATGTTCCCTCACTCACTCACTCACTCACTCACTCTATCTCTCTCTCTTCCTCCCTCCCTCTCTCTCGTTCTTGTCGCCTGCTTGCCTGCAAGGGGTCTGCGAGCTATATCTATCTCTCTCTTCGGCCACGCCAACAGCACCGAGCGGCTCCATGCGCAGCACCAGCACCAGCTCATCAGAACTAGCACATCGGTCCTCCATCAGAGCGGAGGTGCTCTAAACACTGCTCTCCACTCTGCCCGAAACATCTGGGATGCCTCCATGACCGCGACACTTCCGGCAGAAAAGCGCTAGAAGCTGACCGCGCCTTGAACTCCTCGAGCTGCGACTGCAAATCCTCATGCCCACAAGAACGTGGCAAGGCAATACGTATACTGAGCACGCTTCACCCTTGCCTTGGCATGAGCCTGCCACGCCTCGAGCTGTTCGCGCTCTACCTCCAAACCCAGCATGGCACAGCATTGGACGAACCCTAAACCCGAAAAAGCCCCGATTCGCCAGACCTGCCTCCAACTGCCGAAGCAGAGACGCGTGCCTGCTTGCATTTTCGTTTTGGATTCGACAAATTATTTCTTGTCTGAAGTCCTGCACTGAGTTTCTGGCTCGATTGTGGGGCAAACCTGCAGGGAGCACTGGAAACCGGTCTGCTCGCGCAGTTGTCTCAAACACTGCCCTCCACCGGGCGCCTCATCCGAGTCGCCCGTGTCCGCCGGGCGCGGCGCCCAGGCTGGGCAGAAGATCACCAGCGGCGGGTCCATGCCGAACCGTTCGTCGATGGAGCCCGCCCGGCGGGCGGTATCTTCTTGCAGCCAGTCGGCGTGGCGGCGAGCCAGGCGGAACAACAGATGCAAAGCCTGCTTCTAAGGGCGGGGTGGTTATAAATGATTACAGTGCTTAGCATGGTTAAGTATCTTGTGCAACCATGGTTATTATCATGGCTAAGTTGTTGTTAGTATACTTATAAGTAGGCTATGTTGCAGCAGTGCAGATGGCTTGTTTAGTAAATGGACGGGGTCATTTAACAATCAGATGTTGTTGCTTGTAAGTGATTAGACAGGATAGACAAGATATGGATATTTTACTTAGCCAAGTTAGCATACTTAATGCTAACTGAGGTCGTGCCATTTAGCACAATTAAGTAAACAGGCCAAGTGTGCTTAGGTGCTGTTCTTTTTGGTATATGTATCGATGCTCGCGGGCAGTATATTTTCGCCTGCAGGGCAATAAAGCTTTAATTCCACAGGCAGCCATGCCAGCAAACACTATATTTTTTTTCATAAGATGCATGCATGCTCGCAGGCAGTATATACTTAGTTCGCCTGCAGGGCAAGAAGGGCAAGAAAACCATCATGTGACCATGTGTATATACCGACGAAGTTTCTCTGCTCGAGAACTCAGTGTACTTCTAGGTGGAACAAAGTGCAATGGCGCTGTCGCCTGAAGTTTACGGGGAAATCGCAGCCGTACTGCGGAAGACAGAGGGAGGCGAGTTCCTTGTGAAGTCGGTCGCCGACCTCTTCGTCGTTCTTCGCCGCTCTGGTTTGTTGACAGAGATGCGTATACCCCCACTTTCAGTGGGGGTTCACCCGCAGAACCGGGACGGGTTGATGTTGAATGCGGGCGACGTACACCAGCTCCTCGACAGCATCGCTCAGGTGGGCTTTGTGCCTGCCCGTGTGGATGCCATCGGCATCGAGATAGGCTCGGACGACCACCGCATCTACAACCAACGAATGGTTGATGGTGCCGGTGGCTCGCTTGGTACCATGGACAGCAAACTCCTCAAAGTACTCAGCCTGTCAGCATCTCATACTAACTTTGCCCTCAGACTGGTGGCATGTTCGGCTCGCCACGAGTCGACAGAGCTTTCTGTGAATGGGATGCTAAGCCTTCAGCAAGTCAGGGCTCGAGATGCAGCCCTGGCAGAACACGTGGAGCTTGGGCTTACTTGGCGAGTCATTTCCAAAGAAGTCGGCGAGGCTTTTCCCAGCATTGTCCAGCTCGTTCAAGCATCACAGAATGCGACATTGCAGAAGAGTGAGAGTGAACTCCAGCTTCTTCGCCGCATCTTCTCTTTGGCAAGCCGTGAAAGCTCCCCGGACTTCCAGAACATCAAGAAGGTGGCCCTGAGCTCGAAGCCACCGTGTGGCGATTGCTTTCCGGCTCTCTACAGTTTCGCCCTCCGCTTCTGCGGGGGGGCGGACGGCGGCTTTCTACGAGAAAGCGAGATCTTCGTCAGGAGCTCAGGCCAAACAAGAGCTTTGGGATTGCAGTTCTGGGAGGTGCTCTCCCAAGACTTCAAGAAAGGCCAGGAGCAGATCCCTCATTTCCGGCATGCATTGCTGAAGC